TGCCTTGAGTTGAAGCGGTGCTGTGGCTCCGTCATGGGCGTTATGGGGGAGAAAAGCTGGTCTGGAACTCGCAGGCTGTCAGCTGATTGGGGAGTGGGGGGTGGGGCGGTGGGAAGTGTCAGTTCGCAAAACCATGTAGGAGATAGAATGAGCTGTTGGAGCATTTGCTTAAAACATTTTTCAGGGAACATTAAATAATGGTAAATAAGAATCTCATGGGCTGGGGATGTCACTCAGTTGGCAGAGTATCCGCCTCATATGCAGGAGGCCTTGGGTTTGATCCCAGTACTGGCGGGGTAGAGGCAGGAGAGTCAAAGGCTCCTTCTTGGCTACAGGGCCAGTTCAAGGCTGCTTATCAAACTAGGGTTGTGCTTGGCATTGGTCATCTACATGTGTTGTAATAGGAGCGGCAGGTCTGCATCCCCGGCACCCCGGCCGCCTGCTAGCTTATACCCCAAAATAATTACACGGACACTGTATTCTTTTAAACACTGCTTGGCCCATTTCTATCTAGCCTCTTCTTGGCTAACTCTCGCACCTGGACTAGCCCATTTCTAATAATGTGTGTAGCACCCCAAGGTGCGCTTACCGGGAAGATTCTAGCCTACGTCCATCCTGGGTCGGAGCTTCATCGCATCTGCTCGGGAGAGGGGAGCATGGCCTCTGAGCTCACTTCCTCTTCCTCCCAGCATTCTGTTCTGTTTACTCCACCCACCTATGTTCTAAGCTATGAGGCCAAGCAGTTTCTTTATTACTTAACCAATGAAATCAACAAATTGATATATGACACTCCCACATCATACACGGCCTTCAGAGTCAAGCGCCCCAGTTACCTAAAACCCCCAGGCAGAGGGAGAGAGGAGCAGAAGAAAGGAGCAACAGAGCAAGAGAGGAGGCAGGGTGAGCCGAAACTGGCTGAAGCTCCTAGCGCAGCATATTAGAGGAGGGTCAGCGAGCCTGCTGATCAGAGCTTTGCAACCGGTTTCATGGGAAGAAAGACTCTCATGTTCCTTTCAGACAACCACTGTTAATTCCGATTTTAAAGACAAGGCAGTCAGGTGTAAGGCCTCACGCTGCTGACTCCCTTGTTAACTGCTTCTTGTCATTGTCCTTCCTCAGTTGGAATCAATGACATCTGGAAAGATGCCTTTTATGTCACCAGGAGAACAGGAATGAGCCCGGATGGACACCCCACCTCTCTGGTGATCAGCAAGCTTAGCCTGCGCTGGGCACTTATGGAAGGCCAGATGGTCCAGCTGAAGGAGACCACCCCTAAAATTGGCCGTGGGGAGCTGCGAAGATTCCTCTCCAGGATCAAGTTTGTTGATTCTCCCTACCAGGTGACTGTGATATTTGGTTAATTATTATTATTTTTTTCCTGAGATAGGGTTTCTCCATGAACAGTCCTGGCTGTCCTGGAACTTGCTCTGTAGACCAGGCTGGCCTAGTAGTCAGGAGAGAGAGAGATCCGCCTGCCTCTGCCTCCCGAGTGCTGGGATTAAAGGCGTGCGCCACCAATGCCTGGCTAATTTTATGTGTGTGGGCCCACGTGTGTGACACGTGTGTAGAGATCAGCGGACAACTGCAGAAGTTACTTTTCTTCTGTGTGGGTCCTGGGGATTGAGCTCAGGTTGCCAGGCGTTTAGAAATGTGGAGTGGTGGTTTGTTAATCATCCCGGTGACGGACGGGGTGGATCTTTCTGGCATTTTCTGGGCAGGGACCAATGACAACATCCATACAGATGTGGTTTACAGAACCATACAACATCCATACAGATGTGGTTTACAGAACCATACAACATCCATACAGATGTGGTTTACAGAACCATACAACATCCATACAGATGTGGTTTACAGAACCATACAACATCCATACAGATAGATGTGGTTTACAGAACTATACAACATCCATACAGATGTGGTTTACAGAACCATACAACATCCATACGGAAATGGTTTACAGAGTTATCTTGCTGAAAATGCCAACTGTTTTCCCTAAAAAACACTTGAGCCAAGTTCAAAGATGAAGAGAGCTTATTATCAAGGATACACGTCCCTGGGGCTTACAAGCCATTGGAGCTAAACTAGAGAACTGGGGTGTGAAGAAACATTCTGATCCTTAGCGTTCCCATTTCTTTGGAAATCCCACAGATCTAGTGCGATGGAATCCAGCTTCAGAAGACCCTTACAGAGCGGCTCCTGCCCCTCCTGCGTCAGTTCTCTGGAGACATGACGACTCGGGGACCACTGCACTTTGGCAGCCTGTTGGAGCTGTGTGCTGCAGCATGATCTGCTTAGCTGGGGCATCTCACGACCTTCCCATCCTGCACTAACCCCTCCTCCTGGGAACTCTGTGTGGATAGTTTGGAAATGTGAATCTTACAGCGCTTTATTTTATTTTATTTTTTTGTACCTCTAATTTATAAACCCTTGCTAGGAAACCCAGTGGCGTACAAGCAGGATGTATGTTGTTTTGCATTAGGTGATGTGTGTGTGTGCATGTGTGTGTACATGTATATGTGTGTGTGTACCTATGTATTCAGTGTTGTAACAAAATGATTTTTGAGATATGCCCCAAGCTTCAGGGATTCCATTTCTTGTCCTCTTAATTTATCTGATTTGGTGGTCTTCATGTGTCTGGATGGCCTACCTCTGAGATCCTGAGGGTCACCCATGGCTCACCACTGTTTTCCATCTGCCTGTACTGTGGTTCTTAACTCTAGACAGCAGTGAGAAACACTGGAAGTTAGGATGGGGCTAGTTATCCAGTATGTCTGTCTTTCCGTCTCCTAGACTCTCCACGTCTGTTAAGTGGTTGTGAGAACAGACTTGTTTCGATCACAAAGGGAGCAAGGGGTAGAGTTTCTGTGACTCTACTGATTATCAGGTCCCTGTGTGGTGCACTATGAACTTCTGCAGCTATTATAAGCTTTGATTCTGCAGTAACTATTGAAGGGTTAGCATGCACATCGTCCTCAGCTTCAAGGTTGGAGTCCCGTGGCCTTGTCCTGGCTGCAGCTCCACCCTGCTTGCTCCCAGTCCTATCTAGGGCATCTCCATCTCCTGCTCCCTTGCTTCCTCTCCTATTCAGGGATCTATTTCTGGACTTTGGCTTCTTGGGTCCAGCATGTAACCACTTCACCCTGTCTTCTTCCTTCCTCCTAGAGCCTTGGAAGCATTATATTGAGAAAATTCTCATGTAAATACTGTAACTTTTGTAATGATCAGGTTCTTTAGAATTATCTCCATTCTTCCACCTTCTATGTAAATGTCTGACTTCTTTTAATTTTGAATCTTCCAAATGTCTGTGTCATTGTCTGCTATGCCATGTGTTCCCATGGTGGCTAATGAAAACGTACTTCTTGAGTGAAAACCGGATTTTCTCCTCACTCGGGCTTATATCATTTTAGCTTGTGTTAATAAAGCGATCCAAGGAAACTAGATTCTAGATTTAAGGGGCTATGAATTGCCCACAAGAGGTGTTATGGGTAATAGGAGGTTGGTACTCAGTTCATCCTGCAGATTTGCCTCACCAGGCTTGTTGGCACCTCTGCCATAGAACCCTGGAAGCATATTTGGAAGTCTTATGGGACCAGGTTGACGCTGGGAAGGGGGAACAATGAATAGGTCCTTCAATGAACTCTAGGTTCATCTCCAGTAAGTTGGATTTCTATGAGTAAAAGGGCTGAATACAGTTTGTAGTCTTCTCACGACTGGATTATAGTGGACCAAATTGCCAAGTAGGTGGTGGCCTGGTTGAGCCCCCAGACACAATGTGTTCTTTACAGTGTTGGTATTCTGAGAAGCCTGTCTATAGGAAGGAGTATGGAACAAAGATGCTCAATGGAGACCTGTTTGGGGGCTGAAGGCTGTTTATGCTGGTTGAGTCTCAGATAAGAGGAAGTCACAAAAGACAGCATCACTGAATTCTCCTTGGTGTTTTGGTAAATAGCATCTTAACTTCTTGCTAGGAACATGAATCTCTTCCTTGCTAAATGCAATGGAAACTCCAGGCTTAACTTCCTGTTGCAGCTGGTACAGAAAGTTACCTCAGCTGGTAGCTGAGGGTTGAGGTGGCTTCATCCAGCCAATGCGAGTGCTGGCCTCCTGTCAAATGCCTACCTGTACTTCCTCCTCCTTGCAGGGACTCACCCCGATATCCAACATAGGGTGGCCCGCAAAATCAGCTTGACCACTAAGAAGTAATGCCTTCAACAATGCAAGGGTCTCCCCTCCTCTCTGTCTCCTCTTTCCTTACTTTAAATGCCCTCTGCTCCGTCCTGCCCAACATCCTCACCCCCTGCCCCCGCCCCACATACGGTGTGGTGATACCAACCAACCCCAGGAATGTGAGTTGCTGTCCACATTCCCTGTGTGGAAGAGGAGCCAGCGGGTCTGTTGCCAGAAAGCACCGTTTAAAATGTGAACTGTTACAGAACAAATAAAGGCTGTGTACGGGAATATACATGTGTGCCCTTCTCTTTCTTGCTAACCAAAATGGTTTACTTCCCTTATAGAACAAAAGGTGAGCCGATGGATGGAAAGGTGATGCTCTGTGAAGGAAACAGGAGGGACAGTTCGAGGTGACTGAGCAGCGGGTATCCAGTCTCATTCACGGGAGAAGGCCCTGTATGAGGCTCCTGGGAACTTGGGGGGCCACTTCTAGAAGTGAGCCTGGTCCTCTAGGCTATATGTCATATATCATATGATCTTCCAGTGGCTTGTAGGGTCCTATTTAATAATGTTTTCGTTTTTGAAATTTTATTATTAATGTGTGTGTCATGCATATGTGTGGATGTTAGAAGACATCTCTCAGATTCAGTTTTCTTCCGCTGTAGGACCCCGGAATCAAGTCCAGGATGTAGATTGTGCAGCAAGCACTTTTACCCACTGAGCCCTTTAGCCAGCCTAGTTTTTTAAAAGTTGTTTTGAAATTTATTTTATGCATATGGGTGATTGTCTGCCTGTGTGCCATGTGTGTGCGGTGTCTGTGGGGGCTGGGAGAGGGCGTGAGACCCCCTGGAACTGGCCTTACAGTTGTTAGCCACCATGCATATCAGGCACCGGAAGTGGAGCCCAGGACCTTTGGAAGAGAAAGCAGCTCCCTCACCGGCTATTATGAGGTTTCGAGACACTAGTATGGAAGATATGGAAGTATGCAAGATGCCTTCAATCGTGTTTCTGTCTTCCTGTGTGTGACCTCCAGAAAAGTCCCAGGGCACGTAGACGAGCCACCATCAGTTTGTTCACCCGCGTTTCTTCCAGACTGACCAGGCTTTACCAGACCCTTAAAGGTAGGAACTGTATTGCACTTGCCTTTTTATCTGCACTGTGTAGTCTAGAGCCAGCCCTGAGCAGTCAGGAAGGGACGGGGATTCTGATCCACACATGGGAGGTGGATTCGAGGGAGGGGCAGGGCAAGGTCCTGGAGACAAGTCTCTCATTCTTAGCTTCTAAACACAAGGCTCAGGAGACTCTTTTGCTTAAGCGGATGTTGCTAATAAGCAAACACAGATGGTCGGGTTTAGCCTGCTCCCCAAACCCGCTTAACATCTAACACTGCTCTTCTATGGATGATGACCTAGCCACTTCTTTCAGTTCCTGGCTGGCCCCTTGTTGAAATTCCTTATCCTGTAGCGCCGAGTAGAGGTCGATACCTTCGGAGACAGAGCGGATGGGATGGTTGGGATACTGAAGGCAGGTGGTCAAAGGTTCCTCTGGGTGGGCTGCACAAGTCAGCTGGGGGAGGAAGCAGCGGTGGTGGCCTATGAGACAGCTGGGGCTGCGCTTGAAGCTCTTCCTGTGCCTGCACTGGAATTCCAGCATCATCCTTGTGTAGGCATTGAAGGTGGTGACAGCTGACGCCATGCAGCAGGTGAAGGAAACCCAAGCCGTGCTAGGGGCAAACGTAGAAGGGACAGTAAGAGTCGGGCTTTATGGAAAGCAAAGTGCCGTCTGTTCTGCCACAGACTGGGCTCTGTCTGTGTGGTGTCTACCCCTGTGAACCCCTGTACAATCTAGATCCCACAGACTAGGCTCTGTCTGTGTGGTGTCTACCTCTGTGAACCCCTGAACAATCTAGATCCCACAGACTGGGCTCTGTCTGTGTGGTATCTACTCCTGTGAACCCCTGTACAATCTAGATCCCACAGACCTCTAGCTCTCTTCCATGGGCAAGATCTAATGCACCCCCACCCTGTCTTTCTTCCCTTCATGCACTGTGCCCTGACCCGGGAGCTTTCATTCCTCTTCTGCCCTATGCTCTTTGGAACTTAATTGTCCCCAAAGTTGAGCCTTGGGAGAGTCATTCATGAATGACTGCATTTGTTACTACAGACCTGAAGGCACTGCACTTTGCCCTAGTGGAATTTGATTATTATGAAAACTGTGGTTCTTGGCATGGGGTAGTTTTCAGTGGAAGCTGGGTGGATTGGAGAAAGGAAAAAAGCACCCCAGGGAATGACATCAAACACATTCCTAAAGACCCAGGAAGCCAACCCCTAAACAGCCCTGTGCTAGGGTTTGTGAGGGTAGAAGGGGCTGCTTGGAGGCCGAAGGCTGGTGAGAGGGATGTCCTGCAGGTTCCTGTTTGTTGCCATGGTCATTTTGGAGGGGCTGTCAGTCGAGCCCCAAAGTCTTCTGTTTGTGTGTGTGTCTGCGTCTATCTGTGTGTCTCTCTGTGTGTGTCTTGTCTCTGTGTCTGTCTGTGTGTATGTGTCTGTGTGTGTCTGTGCCTTCTTGGGTCCACCTTAACTTGCACCTTGTTTGAGGCAGTTACCTCTCTTTTGTTGTTGTTGACACTGAGGACACAGGCTCACTGGCCAAAGAGCTTTCGGGAATTCTCTGTCTCCGCTTCCTATCTTTCCATACTGCTGGATCATAGACACATGCACTACTGTGTGAGGGTTCTAAGTGGGCCCCAGGAATTTAAACTCAGGTTCTTATGATTATACGGCAGTTACTTTACCCACTGATCCATCTCCTCAACCCAGCCTTACCATGTTAATGGTAAGAAGGATTCAAAGTGGGTAAAAAGGGAGGTCTGACTGGTTGGGGAAACCAGCAAAACACAGGGCTGGTGGATGAATTAGAGTCCTGGATTGCAAGCGTGTCCTGCAGTGTGAGGAAACTGGCAGGATCAGGCGTGAAAAAGCCCTCCATTGTACCTGCATTAGGAAGGAAATGTAAGCCCAGCAAGCATAGTGCGTTTTCTGGGCCATTAATGCCCTGCTCACTTACTTGAGACAGCGAATCTGGTTTGTTAGCTTTGCCGTGAGTGGAGAATGTTCCTCCAGGGAGAGAGGAGAAGAATTAAAGACAAAAACAAAAGTAATGAGAAAGAACTTGTGAAGGTGGGGGGGGGGGGGGCTCCAAGGAAAGAGTACTTGAGATGTAAACAAAGGTAGTGTCCCCCTGAACGTGCCGAAGGTGCTGCGCCTGTAATGCTAGCACTTGAGAAGTAAGAATCAGGAGTTAGTGGTCAGCCTTGGCGGGAATTCCAAGCAGAGATAGAGGAGGAAAGAGGCAGAGTCAGGGAGACGCATGTTGCTGCTGAAGGAGAAAGACGCCAAAACTTTACCCAGTAAGCCACAGCCTTGTGGCGATACACAAAATAATAAAAATGGGTTAATTTAAGATGTCAGAGTTACTTCATAAGAAGCCTAAGGTATTGAGGCCAAGCAGTGTTGTAATTAATATAGTTTCTGTGTAATTATTTTGGGTCTAGGCGGCCAGAAAATGAATAAGCAGCCCCTGTCTACACCCAAGGACATTGAAAATGCTTGAGTCCTTAGTTTTTAAGGTTAGGATGCGGAAACAAGCAGTGGTGACGCCCTTTGGTGCCCACGCTTTGAGCTGTAGCACTGTCCTCACGGATGTGATGACAGCCAGTGCTGTACAGCGTGGAGCTGACTGGAGATCTGGAGTTAGGAAGCAGTTACTCTTGGGATAAAGGAATATGTAATGGATGGAAGAGATTTCAACTGAGGACCATCAATAGTAGACCAGCTGGAAAATCCTAATTTCACGATTATAATTATTGTCCATTTCTCTCAAACCCTGAATCATAAAGTACAGAGCATATAGCAGTTCCTACAATCCATATAAAACCAGCCTTGCCTTCAAGGACTGTATGTAGGCCAAAGAAGCAGCTAATTATAGCCGCTGAACAGGAGACCAGGTCGCATCCTCAGAGCAAGTGAGAAGAATGTTCTGTGCACCCTCTGAAGGCAGGGAGGGAGAAGATATCCCCCTGCTTCAGCCCTGCCTTGGGCTGATGGAGGAAGAGGAGGACAAGGGAAGGAGGTACGTCCAGCTGAAGGTGGAAAATCCTGTGCACGGTTGTGGAGTTAGGCTGCGAAAGCTCGGGGGATGAGAGTACTCACTAGAACGCCCAGCCATAATTCCAAGAGTGCGGTCTCCAGTCCTCTGGACCTAAAGTGGCAGTTGCCTGGAAGACTTGTGAATATGTCATGTGGGCCACCATCCCCAGAAGGCCTGTGGAGGGAGAGACAGAGGCCTTGGAGAAGTCTGTGGAGCATCAGTCTGTTGGCATCTGGATCACTATGCCAGGGCATCCGTGACTCCTTTGCCATCATATTTCCTGGGAAACTAGTCTAGGGGAGGGGTGTCTCCTTGCATATCTGTCTTTACAACGATTACCCCAAACTTTTGTCTGAGAACCGTGGCAAAATCTGAGTCAGTCTGTCATGGTTGTTGCTCATTTTGACTTCTTCCTACCCTTTAGCCTTCACTGTGTGTGTGTGTGTGTGTGTGTGTGTGTGTGTGTGTGTGTAAGATCTTTAGATGTTGTCCAACGGAGACACTGTGGAGAAGCTATATATTCCAGTGGGAAAGCGAACCGAGCTTTCCATGTTTAGAAAGCTTGTGAATGAAGGGACCTGGAAGTCAGAGCATATCAAGATAGTTTTGCAGTGTCTTCTGCTGCTTCTCGCTGTGTGGGGCTGTGTACATGTGTGTGCAGGAGGGTGTGCCAGTGTCTGTGCATAAGCACACAGAAGTTGTTGGGTTTCTTCTGTTACTTTTCATCTTAATTCCCTAGATTCAGGTTTTTTTTTTCTTTTTTTCCAAGACAGGGTTTCTCAGTGTAGCCTTGACTATTTTGGAACTCTCTCTGTAGACCAGGCTAGCTTCGAACTCACAGAGATCTATCTGCCTCTACCTCCTGAGTACTGGTATTAAAGGTAGTGTGCCACCACCACCCAGCTAGACAGGGTTTCTTACTGAATCTGGAACTCCCTACTTTTTGCCTAAGCTAGCTGGCCAGCAAGCCCTAGTGATCCTCCTGTCTGGTATTCCCATGCTCAGAGCTGAGTTCCAGGAGGAAGTGACTGTTGCCTGGCTTTTTATGTGGATGCCAGAGATTATGACTCACATTCCCAACCTGAGCAGCAAGAGCCATCTCCCCAGCTCCTACTCCCAACTCCTCTTCTTGGTTTTCCAGTCCTGTCTTCCTCTCATCAAGGAAAAAGACCCAAGCCTTGAAGATGGTACTTCAAAGGGACCCCTGTGAGCCAAGCTGTGGTGACATACACCTCTAGTCCCAGGTCTCGCTTGGAAGCTTGAAGTCAGTCAGCTATACAGTGAGTCTAACTTAGCCTACAGAGGAAGGCCCCGGGCCCCGCCTCACAGTATGGGCAAAGCAAAACAGCAAAAGACAACATCTCAAGGAGCCCTGCGAGGAACCACCCTCTGCCGCTCCGTGGTCACTTACCTGAGAGGACCAAGGAGATGGCTGCAAAGGCGTTCAGCTTGAGCCCACAGCCAGGGTTACTGGTGAGCAGCAGGTCTGTTAGTAGCAGGAAGAAGCTGATGAATTGAAGTCCGATGTAGGCAATTTGGGTGCCTAGTGATAACCAGAGGACCTCTGCAAAAGGCCAGGAAAAGGGAACCCACCCGGACAGTAGTTAGTAATCACTGTGGACACCAGTGCCCGGCAGAAGTCAGAGGCCCAGAGGGACAGGAGGAGAGAGAGAGAGGAAGCTGAACTTGGCACCCGGTGGTGTCTAGGTAGAACCCGTGTAATGGGCTGTAAAACTAAGCTTAGCTGCCCAACAGAGGGCTCCATTTCCATAAACCCTGTGCCAATCATCATTCGTGGCTTTCTCCTTAGTTAGGGTTTACGTTTTTATTCTCCCACCTCTCACTTTTCTTTTAGTAAAACAAACTTAGACAAGGTGGCATCTACCAGCAGTTCCACTAGCAGGGTGGTAGAAGCAGGAAGAATGGTTTTTCAAGGCTAGTCTGGCTACAAAAAGACCCTATCTCAAGAAAACAAAAAAGAAAAAAAGAAAAAAAAAACCCGAAGTTATCCCTCCTCCCGCAATAATACAAAAGGAAGGAAAAGGCCATAAACTCTTCAGCTTGTGTCCTGGGTTGGGTGCTGGTGACTTTTTGGAATTTTAGGAGGGATGCCTGTCAGCCTTTGGGGCTCAGAGGTAGAAAAAGGAGGTTGTAGTACAGTTTCGATCCAGAAAGACCCAGGTCTCCAGTTCCTGAACACGTACTTGCCACGGGCCCCAAGGGGAGGAGGAGGAGAGAGGTCTTCTCCATCAACCACTTCCCTCCAAATCGGAGAGTGGTGTGATGTGAGCCTTGCAACGTGGCAAATTCCAGTAGTCCTTTCTCACCTCTCTGGGCTGGTGGTGTGAGTTCAATGAAACGTCGGCACTTCTCCCCTAAAACACACGAAGGCCAGTGTCATAAGGACTTTCTGGGGCTGTGGGGATAGAGATGTCCCACCCCACTCCCAGCCCTGCTGCATTTGCTCTGACACAGTCCCTCCCTCATTTGGCGGTGGTGTCTCGTTTTGAGAACAGGAGAGAAAGCAGCCGTGAATGAGACAGCCAAGATTCCTGGTCTTCATCTCTGCTTGTGAAGATAATGCTTTTCTGAGGCCGTATTTGTAGGACAGGGTTCCAGTTTCCTGTGTTAATGTTGACAAGTTTTGCAGCTGGATCAGAATGGCTCAAACCCATTTGCAGGACGGTGGCTTGGCCAGTGTTAGGTGACACGAGGCTACAGATGTGTATGTATGTCTGTCCTCTCATTTTCTCACTCTCTCTTCCTCAACTTCCCCATTTTTATTGCCCTTCCGTGTCTTTTTTTCCTTAGCCCACTTTGTAGGAATTTCATTATCAAGTTGAATATGATCTCAAGTTTTAGAAAATACATTGCCACCATGTCCTCTCTTCCCAGGCCCCACTGAGACTTAAATGTTCTGACTGGGGAAGAGGAGGAGCTGGAGGCCAGATACAGCTGACTTCCGTGCCACTCTAGTCTAAGGCACACACACTGACTAGTGTGAATTGAATAGTGTTTTCAGTAGGTGACAAGAAACTTGGAGCATCTGTCTGCAGCTCCTCCAGGGCATCCTTACAGAACCATGTACTTCAGGACCCCCTAAAATCAATCTATCTATCTATCTATCTATCTATCTATCTATCTATCTATCTATCTATCCATCTATCTATCATCTATCCATCCATCTAATCTATCATCTAATCTATCCACCTACTCATCCATCCATCATCTGTACATCTATCTATCTATCTATCTATCTACCTACCTATCATCTATCCATCCATCTAATCTATCATCTAATCTATCCACCTACTCATCCATCCATCATCTGTACATCTATCTATCTATCTATCTATCTATCTATCTATCTATCTAATCTATCCCCCATCTCTCATCCCTAAATATCTATCTACCCATCATCTTCATCCATTAATTCATTTTGAAATTCTGGGACCCCAACACAGGGCTGACACCTGCTAACCACTCAGCCACAGCACTGCATCTCCATCCCTTAGCTTTGAGATGCTCTCGCTAGGTAGTCCAGGATGCTCCCCACCCTCCTGCCTCGGCCTCTGGAGTGTTGACTCTATAGGAGTATGCCACTAGAGTTTCCCCTTACGTTTTACATCGAAACCCTAATCCCTAGCCCGGAGGAAGAGAGCCCTTAGGGCTACCCCAGCCCTTTTCATCTAACAGGAAACTCTTGGCCTATGGAAATGAAGTTATCCATGTGAGGGTCCATTGGGCAGAGCTCAGGTTGTTTCTAAGCAGCGACTGTAGCCCACTACCATGAAGGTTCTACTAATTCAAACCTGACCCGTCCACAAGCTTCGTTAGCCTGGGTCTGCTGAAGCTGGAGGAGCTGAAGAGCTCAGGGACGTTTGACTTTGTTAAGAGGGGCCATGGAGAAGAGATAATTCGAAAGTGGGGCTCAGGCATGAGGCCCAGCAGGGTTTGGGAAAAGTGTGGATCTTCCCATCACTTCTCCGACTCGTCTCAGGCCTAATGGGGTTTCTTTGTCTGCAAAAGATTCCAAAACTCCCTGCCCTCGCCTGGCGTGGATCTCTTATCTGTAATATGAGTACTCAAGAAGCCAAAGCAGGTGGATTGTGGCAAATTATAGGTGAGCCAGATCTACACAGGTAGTTCTATGATAGCCTTGGTTATAAAATGAGGCAATAGGTTCAAAAACTTATTTTTTGAAGGCAGATGGGATGCCTCAGTGGGTAAAGGTGCACGCTTGCCACGCTGACTGAGGTTGATTCACATGCTACACCTTGTCCTCTGACCTCCACATGTGTGTGCGTACCCCCATGCATACCCATACACGACTCAAATAGAAATGTAATTGATAAGGCAGATCAAGCCGTGTCGCCGGTGCGAGGGTGTTACCTGGCTCTTCCACGGTTTCCTCACAGGATAGCCACATGCCACTGCGGAAGGTAAGGAAGGAGAACCGGTCATCCCCAGTCTCCCAGGTGTATTGTACCACCTCCTGGGCTGATGTGTTGGTGACGCCCCCATCCAAGGACATCGGCATGTCAAAGCACTTGGCTGCCAGACCTTGCCCGCACAGGGGCTTGGGCACCTTCTGTGTGCCCACAATCCATTCACTGCTGAGCAGGGATGCTGCGGAGAGGCCGAGTGATAGCATGTTGAGGATGGCAGATATGAAGATCCGCTGGACAGGGGAACCCTTCTGGAGTTCCATCTGCAACACACAAGCAGGGGGCGGGGAGTCAGCTGGAGAGCTTGCTCTCAGGGCCTCAGCCACTCCTCTTTTCTTTAACACTGATGGCCACAGCTTTCTCCAGGAGCCCCGTGGAAGCTGCTTGGCATCATGTGGCCAGGAACCAGCGTTGTAGCGATGGCACTCACTGAGACTAAACCCTGTGTGGCTCTTGCACAGCTGGACAGACACTGGTCAGATTGACAGAAGGATGAACGTGATACCAGACAGGGGACATTATCACAAGGGTTCCTCATGTCAAAGTGACCTGGATGCGAGCAGGGCGGAATTATACTTATCCGCTTTAGAAGGCAGGCGAGCACCAAGCTAGCCTGGCTTCTGCCTGCCAAGCCACATGGCATTCAAGCTTGTGCATCTGGGTGGAAAACCACCTCAGAGCCATAGTTACAGCAGATATCCTCAGGCAGAGGCAGCAAGGGAACACTCTGAGCTAGCTGGCCTCTTTTGGGGGGTACTGTATATAATTATTTGTTCATGTATAAATTAGTGGGTTTTCAGACATGTTGATCATTGTATTTTGCTCATATTTGCCCCCTCCAGCTCTTCCTTGTCTCCTCATTCTCCCACTGGTCCCTTCCTCTTCCCTAAACAATCCTATTGTCTCTGTTTTCATGTCATATGCAATATGCATTGTTCAATCTAGAGTCTGTATTTAGGAGAAGCCATGCGTTATTTATCCCTCCCCTTTCATCCTCTGACACCCTCTTCTCCCTCCTTTCCTTTGCCTACATAGTTTCCCTTCTATATTTATGCCCTATAGACACACATATATGTATACATATATATTTATATAAATGAGAAGAAACATGTAATATTTGTCTTTCTGAGTCTGCCTCATTTAGCTTACCAAGTTGCTCACCAGTTTCACTTATTTTTCCTGCAAATAACATTATAAGTTTATTCTTTATAGCTGAATATAACTCCATGGTGTGTATATATTATCAACTTATACCCTCCCCCCAGGGGAAGCAGATGGACGTTTGATGCCTTCATGATAAAAGATGGCAGAAGGTATGTAGCTCGTTTTGAGAGTGTTTGCTTAGTGTGAGTGAAACCCTGGGTTTGATCTCCAGCACAATAGAAACCCAGTGTGGTGGTGCACACCTGTGGTCCCAGCACTGGAGAGGTGGAGGCAGGAGGATCATCCCCAGCTACTTAGTGACCTTGAAGTCAGCTTGAACTACATCAAATCCTGTCTCAAAAAACAAAGACCTGTGTTCACCTTGTCAACCTCATTATGTGATGTGGGTAAATTTTATTACCCAATGTGATTAAATTGTGATTGTAATTGTGATTAAATCCAAATGTGATTTACCTAAATTTTATTTAGGAAAATAATTGTGATCGGTCTTGAGTATCCTAAGGTTCTTTCATATGTGGGAAGCAGGAAGCAGCTCAGGCTTAGCTTCCAGATGGTTCTTAGAGTAAAGCATCTTGAGCTGATGGGATCTCTTCTAGCAGAATTAATCAGACCTCAATCTGCTTAGCTTAAGAGATGTAAATAACATCACAGGCAAATACATGAACCCAGCAATCTACGTTACCCCAGCTTAGCAGAATCTACATTGAGCAGCTTAAACCATGACCCTCCGTCCTTTGGAATCCAGGGACGAGTGCAGTGCATACCACACACAAGGTGTTATTTGGGGCCATAGCAAAGATAAGGTGGTCGTTATAAAGATATCCAGACTATGAAACGGAAGAATAAATTGCTCCTGGAAACTGTCTGCCAATGTGACTTAAAAGTTAAAGTTAACAAATTAACTCCATCAGGAAATGCCAGTTTTTGCAAGACTCTGTGTGACCTTGATCCAGGACAAATGTGTTAGTTGCCTTTCCTGGTTTTTAAGTCATTAGTCTTAAAATTAGCAAAGTGGGAGGCGTCCCAGTGGCATTTTCACTTGGTTCTGCTTGGGTTTGGTCCCCTACCCCACTGCTCACTGCCACTAGCCCCTTGGCAACCTCCCTTTCATCCTTATTACCCATTCCCTTTTTCCATTTAGATCTTTCTCCCTCCTCATGATCCCCCCTTTTTGTCATACATATAAATTAGAAACTATTTTTAAGTTATTTTTGGGTTTGACTCATTTCATTTAAATGTATTTTTCCCTACTTTATCTACTTTCCTTCAAATTTCATATTTTTTTTCTCATCCATCTATTGGTAGTGATGTAGGTTGGTCCAGTATCTTAGCCCCTGTGAAAATTGTGGCATCAGAGTGATGTACAGGCATCTCTGTGGTGGGTGTTCTTTCAAATTATCTGATATCCATTGCTTGCAGGTAAAACATCTTCACTAATTATTCTATAAAAAGACCAAACTGGTGATCTAGGCAGTTCCAAATCTCCTCCCCATGTTTAGTTTTAATAGTGCTATTCGGCCTTAATGGTCCGTCCACTATCACACAACACCAGAACAGATTTGGATTTATATTCAGTCCATTTCAAGGTATGTATCTATCCAAGTTCCTCCAGGTTATTCAGACATAAAAAAAGAGTATTAGGGCTTACACACACCTGTGGCCTCAACCGAGATGACAAGCAAATTATGGACCAGGTGACTTGAGGAACAAAAGATGATCTACTTGAACTGACTCAGAGTCTCTGTCCTGAAAAAAAAAAAAAAAACGCCCACCACGGAAAGGGGCCTGGTCTCTTTATGTTCTCTTCCTCCTCCACTTGCTGCAGACAGGGTCTCATAGAGTTTGTGACCTCAACCTGACTAGAGTTAGATACCTAGAGGTTGACCTTGAACTTGGGATCCCCCTGCCTCCACCTCTCAAGTGCTAGAATTACAGGTGTGGGTCCCACTGTCTAGGGAAGCACTCTGTGAAGCTTCCTCAACCCCAGATACTTAAAGTGACATCTCATTCAGGAGCCTTTTCCAGAACTCTCGTCCATCTCGCCACATCTCTGGATACATGCCTTACTCAAATCAGAAGAACACAGCTCATCTTACAAGTTTCCTTAAAGTGAGTCTAGACTGAGTGGTGCAGCCTAAGGGAAGTTCTGCCTTTGCTATGCTCACCCACGCCTTCCCAAGGTGACTCTACTCTCTAGACAAGAGATGAAATAGAAGCGCCATAGGTGCCACCATGGCAGCCATGCTCACATCGATGTACATTAACAGAAAAACACGGCATTCGTGTATGCTAACAAGGACAGCCAGTTGATAGATCTAGATCAAAGACCCAGGTGCCAATGCTTCTTCTGTGAAGTAAAAGGGGGAGGCTGGTTACCTTGGCCATGGTCAGCGTCTTGTAGCCCGTCTGGAAGGATGGAAAGATGTCATCTGTACTAGTCTCTTTGGTGTAATGTAGCAAAAGTGAAAGTTGGGTTCCCTCCCTCCTCCCTTGCCTTCCCACCGCTCCCTCCTCCCTTGCCTTCCCACTGCTCCCCTCCTAGCTCAGACTTTGTGCCGTGCCTCTTGATTAAATGCTGCTATGCAATGAACATGGGCATTTAATAACCGACGGTGCAACCCCAGCCCAGCTGTTCCTGGAGATTATGCCAGAGAACTTGCCAGTCGGGGAGCTGAAATTCAGCACAGAGCAGCACGGACCCGCATTTGCAGAGGGGACTTTCTGTAAAAAGTAAAGGGTGGTTTACATCTCCTCTACCCGTTGTTCACTAGGTAAGCGGGGTGAGTGGATGGGGCTTGATTTTTGCAGCAATGCTCAGAATATCTAGATCCGCTGTCATTGCTTCCCAGCCTTCCCCAGGGAGCAGCTTTGGGTTGTTCTCTGTGTGGTTTCCACCTTCTAGGCAGTTCACAAACTCTTGCTTCCCTCCATGTGGGATGCTGCGCGTGCTGGTGGAGATGAGGATGGGGCAGGACTGGAATGGATATCCAGAGTCAGCCATGTGACGGCTGTATAATGGCCACCATTTTCCCCAACCCTCAAGCAAGGAATAAACATCTTATTTTCCACAGAAGAAATTTCAGTAATGATGATGATGATGAAGCCAACCAACTCTTAGGGAGTGGATGGCTATCCTCTTGGCAGCCACTAGAGGCACAAGTCATTCTTTCTGTCCTGAGTTTACAGATAGCTATTTTGCAGCAACTACTCTCTTTTTTTATACCCAGCACGCCCTCAGTTTCTTTCTTTCACTTTCTCTCTTCTTCTTTCTCTCTTTCTTTTTCCGAGACAGGGTTTCTCTGCGTAGTCCTGGCTGTCCTGAAACTTAAACCAGGCTGGCCTCGAACTCAAAGATCTGCCTGACTCTGCCTCCAAATGCTGGGATTAAAGGCATGCGCCACCACTGCCCCTTTCAATTGGAGGGTAAAAAGTCGATTGTTCTTTTAAAGTGGCTTTCTTTTTGTCCTTGTCCCGTCATGCCTCTCTTGCGGCTTTTTCCTTTTTCCTTTTTTTAACTTTTAGTGTGTGTGTGTGTGTGTGTGTGTGTGTGTGTGTGTGTGTGTGTGTATGTGTAGCAGGGGCATGGTGCATGTATGGAAGACAGCTCTGGGAGGACTTGGTTCTCTTTTTCTATCATGTGGGTTCCAGGAATCACACTCAGGTTGTCAGGCTTGGAGGCAAGCCTGTCTACCAGCTGAGCCAACTTGCAGGCCCCTGAATATGTTTTATGTACCACCCTGTCAACCCTTTCTTCATTGTGACCCAACCCACTGGGCCTTGGGAGAAAGGCACATTGTGGTCCCATGCTGCTGTGGGATAGGCTGGTTTCCTGAGTGCATGGCTACCTCATGCCGCTGGGTGGCGCTACACTCTCATGTTTTTATTTCTGCCCTTTCCTTCCCTACAAGTCAGCAAACTGGGTGGAGGTGGCTACTTCTCTCTGTAAAACTGCTCTCTTTCCTTCCTCTGGCTTTCACCCCAAATATGAATCTCCAGACTGCCATGTGTCAGCCTTATGGAATTCAGGACTTAGAATGAACTTTGGGGCGTCCAGCCACTCCCGGGAGGACCTTTTAATAGGAGTATTTCCTATAGTACATTC